ATGGATGGATGGATGTTCGGCCTCTTCTCTCGCTACTGATGCCGCCCGTCTGGCTCCATTGCTACAACAGTGAAATGAGATTGAGTCTCTAAGGCTGCCCTGAAGTGCATTTATATTCCGTTGCAGAACTTGGGCTTGTTTTCGACTTATCGCTGTGACAATAATCTCTCCTTACAGCCGACCACCCTGCTGATAGAATGGAAGAATGGAGATGTGATGTGTCGAGTGCTCTGAGGGACCAAAGCTGAAGACTCCCCGCGGAGCTTAGATGCACTTAAATGAACTGCATCGAAGCAAACAACAGCTCAGAGGTAAACACACTCACCAAACATTTTCACATTAAAAATGTTAGCGCTAACGGCGGGCTCCGAAGCGAAACCCTTTTTAAATAATGAAACGCGCTCAGTTTGATTCAGCTAGCTTTATTATGGCACTTTGTACATGTCAGGTTACAAACTCAACATTCTGGGTTTCTTGGTTCATACAGCACTCAAAACAATCCAGAAGAACATTGCATTTTAAAAAAAAACAAAAAAAAAACAAAGAACAAAGGGGATCTGGAAGCTGCTTTGGCGTTGAAATCACCTGTGATGTACAGTTTGTTTCCTGGTTGGTGCACATTTTCCAACATTAAGTACAATACTTGCCAAAGAAAGAGCTCTTGGTTGGCACAGTTATTCCTCTTTTTCATACTGGCTGGGAAAAGATCCCTTCTTTCACTGAGTCCTAAGTGCTTCAGCAAAAGCCAACTGGACTTTGTTTTTGTGCTTCTTCAAGACATTCCAACATCATACAAGATGCTTCACTTCTAACTGACTTATAGGAAGTCCTGGGTATTTATTAAAATCACATCACACAACAAAGGTTCTTCAGTAAACATACCATGTCAGTCTTGACAATAAATACCTGGGACTCCCTACCAGTCTTCAAGAACAAACAACTTTAGGAAACTTCTGTCTCATGGGATCCGATAGCCAATCTGTAGCACACTGATCCAGTTTCCTAGACCTGGAACATGCCTCGTTTTTTAAACTTCAAAATACGATTTTTGGACTTTATCCATCCCTAGAAAACTGAGTCTTTAACTGAATACAGATTTCATCCCCCATTACTTCCATTGAAATTGTGAGAGGAAATGGATCTTTTCACAGCGAGTGCAGGAAGAAGGAACAATTGCAACTGAGAACTGATGAGCTGATAATTGCTGTTTGGCTACAGCTAATGCTGGGGTGACGTCAAATTTCTACTGTATCACAGAGCTCCAAGTCAGATTTATTTTTAACAGGAAGAATTTCTTTATAAAATTTGATTCATAAATCACAAAGTGGCATCTTCAAATTGTTGCTTTCTGTCCAACTAAAACCCCAAATTGCAATTTTACTATCACACAATGCAAAGAAAAGACGAGAGCTGGTGTCCAACTCTCCTTTTACAGTCACAAACACAGATGCTGTATGTGCAAAGAAACTGTACAAAATCCATTCCTGTACGTAAAAGGAGCATCGCAGGTTGGCATATGTGAACACACACTGTGACATCCATCCACACACACTTTGTGCACATCTTTGTTTTATTGATTTTTTTTTAACACACAAACTGATGCGGGTTTCTCGGGGATCCAAGGTAAACAGGTTGCATTGAAGTGCTACGAGACGTTTCGTTGGCACACAAGGAGTAACATTTACACTATTTACATCCTAAATAATCAGTTGTCATGCGTTTCCTAAAAACAGACAGTTTTGTAGAAAATAAAATTCTCACATTCCGCTCGGATATAATTTCTGTGGAAATCATATTTAGCAAAAACAATGAATGAGTGTCAGGTGGCATTCACTTAACTCTGTATTTGTCCTGTTGTGTTGATTGTATGACAGGCTCTTATACTGTACAGGTTGCATGAGCAGTAGGAATAAACAGGAAGCATTCTGCAGTTGGCATTGTAAAGCTGTAAAACTAAAAAGAAAATAAAAATCATGCTACCAAAAGGTACTCCAACAGGAGTCACAGTAAAGCTGACTGACTGAGCAATCCTCTGAGTGGGATCCAAACCTGACGCACTCAGAGCGTCAGCGTGAGGAATAAAACATCTGGCTCTGTTTTATTACATGTTTTCCAGCTAATTTCATGGATCAGTTTCCACGATATTCCCCCAGAAATCTCAAACTGCTATTTAGCTGTAAAATTACAAGGATATCTCTGAGTCCTGCGCAATTAGGTACTAATTAGAAGGGAAGAAGAGAAAGTTATTAAGAACCTGCTCAGCATATTCAAGCTTTTAATAGAAATGTACGTGCCAAGTAAAAATAATTGATAAAAAGATGCCAGAGTTTCCTTAGAAGAGCAACAAAAACTAGAAAATGTGCCACATTGAGTTCTTGTTTTTCACAGATTGAAACTGATGAATTTTGAAGTATTTAAAGTGTTTTATTTGTGGATCCTCATATAAGGTTGAAACACAGAATTTGAGGATTTCCAGTGCAGCTGAGAACCAGAGATATGTATGTAATGGGTAAAATGGTTCATAAACTGACACCAATATTAGTCAGTTTTATAGGAATACTAACAAAAGTGATCATTTCAATTAGCCTACCGTTTAGATGAACTGATGCTGCTTGTTGGTTAAATTTCGTGTACATATTTGTTGTTTTCAGATGTACAGGAAGTATTTTAGTTTGTTTACATATTGCTGCCACACTAGAAAAATGGTTCAGTTTCATGTAATAACAACAAAAAGTTAGAATGTGGAACTCATGTTGAAAGGAGAAAACAGTGTGCAGAGAGCGGATAAAATGAAAATTTGGCTCATTATGCGATTTGATTAGGTTGAAACTTGCGCTGGACAATTAATTTCAAATTGAAACTATGCAATTAGGAAATCACAGAGGCTGCAGTTTAGTACAGACGAGGCGTGGCTATCAAATAGGGAGACTCATGCAGCAATTCAAGCGCACTGAAACTTTAAGGGGCTGTTTACGTTTGCTCATTAATCAATGAACATCAAGCAGTTCAGGCTGCGCTTAAACTGACTTGAGCTTATTTAACCGTCTCACCACTTTGTATGTTTTGCAGCGCTTTTGACACAGGATTTAAAACATACTGTAACTGGTTTTACAAATTCACGTCTCGTAAAAAATACTGCAATGTCTGTCGGAAAATTAGCAATTACATTTTCCTCAAATTGCTCAGCTTTAATTGAAACACAAAACTAAAGACGTAGGTATTGGATAAACTGGCATCAAGAAGGATTAAGAAAAATTCAGAATTTCAGTTTGACTTTGAGCTGTCACAACTTTTAGGTCCACTCAGTAATCAGTAAATACTACTTTAATTGACATTAATCATATTAACTGATACACAACCTAAATCAAATCAAGTTTATTATCATTTTGCTGTACGTACACATTAGTACAGGTAAGATTAAAGAACGTTTCTTCAGGATCCAATAACTTAAAGCAATTTAAAAAAAACAAGTGTTTGCATATCTGGATCAGCAGTTCAGCATTCAATTAGATGAACACTACGTGGATCTGTAATGTCTGGCAGCTCAAATTAACAACTGTTTCTTGTCTTTCTAGAAAAAAGAACGACACTGATTTCAATTTCTGAATCATTTTTCATTTCCCCTGTACATTTATTTGTAGTTTTCAGATGCACTGGAAATTCTCAACTTTTGTGATTTTACGTTAAATAACTGCCCCACCAGAAAAAAAAAACAAAACAGACTACTAATTTACTGCTTATCTTGAAGAAGCAATGTGAGGATAACAGATGAATTAAGTAAGCTGACTCATTTATAGGATTTGATTCAGGTTGAGTCGTGGTGAGATTCAGCTGGTATTGAGCGCAGTGGATGATCCTGTATAGACGGAGCCTCTTCTGTATTTGCATACTTGTATCTTATAGCTGGATCTCAGCATGTCTCAAACCAAGCATGAAGTAGAACTTAATCAAATGATGCAAATGAGATGTTTTCACCAATTTCTGTTGTTGGTGTTTTTTGCAAATTATCAAGTCTTAATCATGTGAAAAAAAACTTAATATCATAGTTTGTGTTTTCCTTGTGTGGCAGCGATATGCTACTGTGCTATGATGAACCTCAAATAAAACACTCCATACTAAGAAATTCACATCGTCAGCAGCTAAACATATTTCAACAAACCAGACCAGTAAAGTGATTCAATATGTTACATTTTCTAGATAATAAAGACCTTTTTTCTTTCTAGGAAACTCTTCTGTACTTTGGTATCATTTTATATTTATTGTTTTACCTGCCTGCAACATAAATTTCAAATTTTTTTTCTCTTAAATTGGAATATAATCAACTGGAACTCATAAATGTAGCAGCTAAAGCTTTCTTCATTCCTTTGTAATTAGTTCCAAATTGCATTTCGCTGACGTTCTTGTAATAAACAGCTAATCTTTGCAAAATTGTTTGCTGAGTTTGCAGGAAATTAGTTGGAAAATATAAGAGCAATAAAATAAAGAGTTTCTTTTTAAACGACAAACTTTGATCCCTTCCTTGTCTTTGAAGTCAACAAATACACCGAAACCAAACCTGAACAAATATGAGAAAGTAGTGATCGCTTGAGGAAGTAAGACTGTGACTTCTGGGTAATTTACCTGCTGCAAAACTGAGGTGATCCTCTGACATCATCCTCTCTTTCGGTTGGGTTTCAGCTGACCAGCCTTCTGTCAGTCAGGTAGACAGTTCAGCAGAGTCCAAGGCCGGCCAGCAGGCCTTTTTTGGGGGCGGGAGAAGGGGTATCAGCTCATCAGGAGAGGAGCAGTGCAGGATTTGGGACTGTGAAGTTCCTCCAGAAGGGGTTTGGGGGTTGGGAAGTTGTTAAAGTTTAGGTCCGCACCCAGCAGATAGGCACCCAGAAGGACTCTCGCTCCAGCCTTTCCAAAATACCTCGCAGTTCTGCACAAGCGCTGGCTGAGTCCTCCTTGATCAGGACTCGGTCCACCAGGTGTCCGTACTGCTGGTCGATCTGAATGGCAGACTGACGCATCTCCTGGAGGTCTTCATCCTGGTGGAGGAAGCAAACAGGAGGATTGTTTTAGAGAAACACGTGCAGGACATGCTCTTTACTCATCACGCCTTCTTTATCTGTGTCCCAACAGAGTCTGGATCCTCTGGAGGCAAAACCTGCTGGACCAAGTGTTTCTAAATGCGCCGATGTATTCACAGTGTGGCCTCCTCAAGGGACAGTCTGGTTTATTTAGCCTTTGTGTGTTGACATTAGATTACAGCAGAGTTTAAAGAAACAGAGAGGGCTTGTGGGAGTGAATGGAGTCAGCAGCCAAACCTATTTTCTCAATCAGTTTAAACATACGCTATATTTAGACACATCATTTTCTCAGTTTGCACACATGCCGTGTACCGTATTACACCAAGGATCAGCCGTCAGTCAGAGCTCCTGCGGCGTAATACGGTGCACGGCACAGGTGAGAACATTCTAAATGCAGCATACGCTAAAGCTGATATTGATTCTTTTTTTTGGTAAAATAGATTCTGCTGCTGACCTTGTTACTCGCTGCCAGCAGTCGTCTCTGCTTCTTCAGATTGAGGACAGCTGCACTATAATGAAGCGGCTCTGTATAAGAACCATATATGTCACTTTGAAGACAACAAACTGTAACGACCTTCCTGAGACTCATACACTAAATTGCCAAAAGTATTCGCTCACCTGCCTTGACTCGCATATGAACTTAAGTGACATCCCATTCCTAATCCATAGGGTTTGATATAACATTGGTCTACCCTTTGCAGCTGTAACAGCTTCAACTCTTCTGGGAAGGCTGTCCACAAGGTTTAGGAGTGTGTTTATGGGAATTTTTGACCATTCTTCCAGAAGCACATTAGTGAGGTCACACACTGATGTTGAACGAGAAGGTCTGGCTCTCAGTCTCTGCTCTAATTCATCCCAAAGGTGTTCTATCGGGTTGAGGTCAGGACTCTGTGAAGGCCAGTCAAGTTCATCCACCCCAGACTCTCTCATCCATGTCTTCATGGACTTTACTTTGTGCACTGGTGCACCTTCATGCTGGAAGAGGAAGGGGACATCTCTAAACTGTTCCCACAAAGTTGGGAGCATGGAATTGTCCAAAATCTCTTGGCATGCTGAAGCATTCAGAGTTCCTTTCACTGGGACTAAGGGGCCAAGCCCAGCTCCTGAAAAACAACCCCACACCATAATCCCCCCTCCACCAAACTTTACACTTGGCACAATGCAGTCAGACAAGTACCGTTCTCCTGGCAGCCGCCAAACCCAGACTCGTCCATCAGATTGCCAGATGGAGAAGCATGATTTGTCACTCCAGAGAACGTGTCTCTACCACGCTAGAGCTTTCCAACACTGCATCCAACACTTTGCATTGCATTTGGTGATTAATGGCTTAATAATTGTAACTCATTATTAAAACCAATTCCATGAAGCTCTCTACGCTCTGTTCTTGAGCTAATCTGAAGGCCACATGAAGTTTGGAGGTCTGTAGTGTTGGACTCTGCAGAAAGCTGGCGACGTCTGCACCTTATGTATTCTCTACATTCAAAAAAAATTAAATAAAATAAAATATGCAAGGAGTAAACGGTAGAAAATCTGTGCTTGTTGGTCCAACCGTGAAGTCTTTAGTGACTACACTGCGATCTACAGTCATGAGACAAAAACTCAAGGACTTTTTGGCTGAACTGCATTCAGTGTTTACAGATATGAGACAATATAAATGTAAGAAGCAAAACATCTACAGTATGTAAAACTACCCTTTTTAGAACTGGTAACACCTGTGGGCACTTTGAAAAATGTTGAACATGTTTTGTTTTAACTGCACAGAAGACATTTTTGAGTTCTGCTTCCTTCTACCCGTGGGTCGGCTGTTTCCACAGAGGTGCAGGACTTTATATTGCAGTGAAAAATGTGACAGGAGCAAAAACAACCCCCAGAAACTGCTTGGGGTTCAGAGGGTTGAAGATATTTGTGCTGTAAGGATGTGAAGAAGAAGAAGCAGACAGCTGTTGTGACTTAAAGAAACTCACCGTGACACGGCCGTGCTCGCCCCCTCCTGGCGAGGTGGCTGCACTGCGGCGACGTCTGCTCTCAGGAACACGAGGTTTGACAAATATAACGTATGGCTTGAACTCCGCTGTCCGCAGCCTCTTCAGGGCCTGGAGTGGTGGAAGATTTACATACAACAGATCAAACACAGAAAACAAGAGGCCAGAAAGACGACACGGAGGGACAGAGTCAACAGCGATACGCCAAAGTCTCGGCTCAGTGAGCAGATCCGAGGTGACCGACTGCCTCCGTCCGCTCAGCCTTTAAGTAAAGTGCTGCTGCCTGCAGACTGTGTAACTCATCACGGCGTGTTATGACAGTACATTTTGATAGCTTTGAATGAACTGTGACCCTCACCTCAGGCTGCACATCTACTATACACATCTTATTCTTGGCTTGGACAGAGCGGATCGCCTCTATACTGGTGCCATACTGGTTCTCTTTGTATTCCCCGTGCTCTATGAACCTGTGGAGCAAGAACACAACCGTCACTTCAGCAAGAAATTGTGCACATTTTTACGAAACGACCAGGAAGCAGCAGAAACCTACTTGTTGTTCAAAGCATCTGCATCAAACTGCTGCTTGGTGACAAAGTGGTACTCTACACCGTCCTTCTCGTGAGGCTTCTTGGGCCTGGTGGTATCTGTGGGAACACAAAAAGAGGAATTCAGTTGGTATTTGCGATGTATTGTTGGTCTATTTTTAAGAAACGAGTGGAAAAATGTTGAGTGACTTACGTGGTACAGCTACTGCGTAACGGTGTGGGTTTTCCGCAATCACCCGCTGCTTGAGTTCATTGATTCGAGCTCCAAGAGAACCTTCAGAAGCCGACAGCGTGCGTGCATGAGAGAGAAAATACAAAATAGTCAGCATGTTGTAGAACAGGCTTTCATCCACTAGATGTCCCTGTCGCCTCAGGAGACTATCTGTGCTACTGCTGTGGACAAGTTAAAGAAACTGCAGGAATTAAAGAGCTGTGCTGATGCAAGTGAGAAGAGACACATTTCCCCTCGGTTCAACCAGAAGTTTGCTAAAGATTAACTGAGAACCTTTGGCAGAGGTGCAGATGTGTGGAAAGGGCAGCCTATTGTAAGGTTGTGAGTACTTCACAGACACCTTGTATCACGGGACACCATAGATGGGTGTCATGGCTGTTCTACTGGGTGAAATGACGCATTAAAAAGCTCTGCAGGTTCTCGCAGACCAGCATAATTTGAAAAGGGGTCAATGCCATGCCATGTTAGCAGAAAAGGGAAGAAAAGTGTAAATATAAAATCTACATTCTAAAAGGTGATTCCACATGTGAGTGGAGGGAGACGACTTGGGAATATACGGTGAGGTTTTCCAACTCAGTGCCTTGTGAAACTGCAGTAAATATTACACCTGCCTTCTTGTCTTAATTTATTTTTGAACTAAGTTTGTCCTTAGGAACTGTCATTCATCTCCACATCAAATCATCAGATGTTTAAAACAACTTCTGATGGATCATCTCTGATTTGCCTGAAATTTTCATAGCAAGAAAAAATGGACATTTAAAAAGATATTTGTTGGTTTTCTTGGTTCATTTTGGAGAACCAGTTTGAAATTCCAGAACTTGGAGAAGGCTATCCAGCAGTAGTTTTTATTTTTATTTTATTTCGTCATACCTGCTCAATCAGTTAAAAAAAAAGTCTTTCATATTAAAAAGCATTCTGCTACTTTAGTATTTTTGTGAAATGCAACTAGATGGTTTAGAAAATATTACTAGTTGACTTTTGCATTATAATTTTTTGTAACATTGGCTTTAAGATGGAACTTTTTATGACAACTTCATTCCCCCCCATATATATATTTAACTCACAAATAAAACAAATATTGCAGATTCTAAACTGATGACATGATGAACACTAAAACTTTTTAGGCTTTTATGTTTAATAGTTCCTGACATATTGTCGTTCAAACAAACATTCAAATTTCAATGTGCAGAAAAACCTGTTGAAAGTGAGTGGATGGGCATTACAATTCATTTATTTTTTCATCTCGGCAAGAGTTTAAGCTGAAATTTCAGAGAAATCTTCATAATATATTCAGAATTTATGCTATAAAAATGTCAGGAAAATGTAGGGATGCTAGAGCAAACGGTTTGAGATGGAACAACCTGGAAATCATTGTTGTTTTCAAGAAGAGCAAATGTTGTGGAGGACCTGAACTTTCACAGGCCCACCTGGAGAGCTCTGCTAGAACACGAGTCAGTGGCTCAGTCTTACCGATCAGAACCACCAGGCGGGGCCTCTCATGGGGCCTCTGCTGGTAGCGGGTCACCTCCTCGTAGGTCAGGTAATCGGGATCTCCTGGGTCAGAGCCCTCCCCCGATGATCCCTGCCTGTCCTTACGACTCAGCCGGAAACTCCTCCGTAAACCAGCTACAGCGCAGGGCCAGAGAGGGGAACAGAAATCATAGAAGTTTGGTCAGATGTAAATACGACACAGATATTTACACAAAATTCCAAAAGACAGCTTATCAGGTAAATGCAAACACGAGCTGGATAAATTCAAGACCGACCCATTTGTTATCATGCATTAAAGAACCCTGGTAAACAGTGCACATGGATGAAAATAACTCATTCTTATCTGAAGTGTGAATACTTCACGGTGAGAGATATTAGCAGAACTTGGAGCCTACTAGACGTCATGCTTCAACTAAAAATTGCATCACATGCAAGTAAATACATTAGGTGAAATAAGTAAAGCCTGAGAATGAAGCAGACTCTATTTTAAGCATTTTGATTAACAGTTCAAAACAGATTTGAGCGACCCAAGATAAACATAGATTTCCAGCATTATGTTCCCGATAAGGCATGCTGCTTTCAACAAGGCTACAGTGCTGAGGCAGGACAGACAGTAGAGCCTGGCCCTGGGAGACGCCACGATGAAAAAAGGGCTGCGAATCGGGGTCTCCCATGATCAGGACTGTCTGTATCCTCCCTGTCAGTGGTGTGTACCTGCAGGAATGAGCCGGGCACTGTACCTGAATAAAATTCCCAGGAAAACACCTGGCCACAGGAGGGCGCCACTGCTTTACACTTAGGAGAGACTATAACTGGCGTTAGAGCATCACACAACCCAGCCTCACACCTCCACACAGGGTGAACGAGCAACAAACGTGCCTGGTTGAGTGTGCAATGCGTCCAACGCAGCAGGGCCCTCGTGAGGGTGGGAGCAGGTTGAGGCGGGTGGGGGGGGAGGTGGCTGTTTTAGTGGGAAGGGGGCAAGCAGTGCACTGACCACATCAGCAGCAGGGGCAGTTAGTTGGATGCAGGGCAGGAACGGAACGAAGGGAGGGTTTATAGGAGGATCCAAACACTGCTTAGGCGGAGGGTGGAAGGATGGGAGAAGGAGGGGACAGGGATTTACAGCTCCAAGCAGGTGGACAGAAAGCACAAATACTGTTGAATACGCTGTTCTGTGTTACAGTGAGAGGGTGTTGTTAAGCTTTCAGCCTGTGTTTAGATCGCTCCTCATCGTCATTCCAGCAGCTCGCAGGACGGGGGGAGCGAGTGGGAGGGTCGGGTTGGGTGGAAGAAGGGTGAGGGAGGGGAGGGCTAGAGAGGGGTTGAGGATAAAGGGGACTGATATACTCCATCCGCCCCAATATGGATTCAGTAAAGCCTTTTATCGCAACATACCTGTGGCCTGGCTGTCTATTGAAAGGCTTACAACTCACTGATGCTTTAGTATTTAACCCTCTGATCCCCAAAGGCCACCAGCAGCTTTAACCCTTTATAGGGCACTTCTTGAATTACCTGGAGAATGAAAATTTCAACCCAAAGGTGTTATTGAAAGATATTTCAAGATATTTTTACTTTTGTGACTTTTGTGACCAATAAAAATAAAATATTTCAAATCAAGACTAATAAATTTACCATATATGGTAACTCGCCTGCCTACAATTTAAGGTAGGTAAAAAGGTAATTTATAATAACAAACTGCAAAAAACATTTATTTAGAAACGTTTCAGTTTGAGGTAAGGATACTTACACAACCAGTAACACAGTATTTATAAAGTGCTTGGTGAGTTCATTTAGTAATATTTTTCTTGGGGTAGTGGTTTTGGCACTAATCTCAAAAAATAATTTAAAGTGGAGTTCAATGTAAACCAGTAACAAATCATTTATAAAGCGCCTGGAACATTCGCTCTGTGACATTTTTCGTAAGGTCGTGACACTGGCACGAATACAAAAAGTAAATCAAAGTGCACATGGTCCCTCAACCTCAAGGAGAGCCATATATTGAACATCCAAGGAAGTGACCAAATATGGTCACTTGCCCCATTAAGGGTTAAAATATTATAAATATTATCTTCCAAAAAAAAAAAAAAAAAACAGAAAAAAAATGGCCAAATAATATCATTTATCAGGAACTGTACAAACAAAAAGAACTTTTTTTTTTTCAACTTTTAGTGAACTTTTCATCCAGGAAAATGAACCACATCCAGGCTTAAACTATTTGGTATGTCGCTCCTCATTGCAAACGTGACGCTACAAGTGACTCCGATGCATCCAGCAGTCACTTGACAAAGATTCATGGACTTTTCGGCTGGACGTAGCAAATAATACACAAACGTGGAAACAAAAATATAAATGAAAGTAGAAAATATCCATAGTATGTAGAGTATTCCAGTATTGCTGATACCTGTAGGCACTGGGGAAAATGGTATACATGCTGATTGTAGGTTGTTGGGTTTTTTTTCTTCAAATTTTGTAAAATAAATGATCGAAAGAATTCCTTCATTTTTTCTTATTTTTTGATGTGATATGACTTTTTATCTTTGTTATACTGTACAAAAGACATGTTTAAGTGCTCTCTCCTTTATTCAGGACTACACATTGCAGTGAAAAATAAGCCCACAGTCAGTAAAAATGTGGCAAAAGAAAAAAAAAAAAAAAGTAACTGCTTGGGGTTCAGAGGGTTAAATATTTAACCAGGAAAAAATATATTTTCCTGAAGGAGCAGCTCCATTTTACCCAAGTAAATATCATTATCTTTCATCTATCTTTAATTAGATGCTTCACCTTTTTGCATGCTTTTGTCAGCTGTTTATTGAAATTTGATCACACTAATTGTATAAATCAAGTTTACTAATTGAACTTTAAAAAAAAAAAAAAACTGGCACACAATAATAGTATTTTTCATAAAACTTCCAAAGACATGATCATACTTACTGCAAATTATGTAGCAACCACAACACAGACGTTTTGCGTTGTGTGTTATTCAGTCTGTTTGTTGTGATTTTGTGCGACCACGCTCTGATGCAACCCTGTACTACCTTCTTAACTCTAATTATGCAGTGGAGTCTCTGAAGAGGCAAATCTGTTACTGGCACCTGCAGAAGTGCGAGACGATACTTCCTACACATTTTCCAGACATTACGTTCCCTTTTTTTTTTGGATAACACATTAGCACTTGCATGTCTACTCTCTCATTTTCAGTATCCTCATCCAGTTTCTCTGATTCCCCTCCTTCGGCGTTGACTTTGAAAACCAACTTTTGACCCTTCCCTCAACCCCGAGCTCCAGACGGGTCAAACCTTACAAGCATTGTTTTGGCGCCCCAGCCCAAAGCACCCAAGGGAAGCAGCGCACAGCCAGGCTGCAACAGGCAAAGAGCAGATAGGGGAGAAGGAGGTGGAGAAAGATGTGCACGCTCTCACCTATGTACTGTCCATTGAAATAGCCCTCACAGTCACAGTCCTCTGTAGGGAGGCAAGCAGGGAAAAGAGGGGGGTAAGCACAGGGTAAGAGACCTGGAAGAGTTAAGGGGAGGTGGAATAGTTAAAGGCGGCCCGTGGGTGCTGGAGAGGGGAGGCGGGAGGCCCAACAGGCAGCAGGCAGGCAGACAGCAGGGGCAGCCAAGAGGTAATGTAGGAACGCTGTTGGAGGCCACTGACAAAGGCTTCGTAAAGAGATTTGAGGAGAAGAAAAAGGAGAGGAGAGAGGCGGCTCTACTTCATCTGGAGCCCAGAGTTTGTGTATCAAGCACATGTGAACAAGCCCCCAAAAAAGACAAAAACAACAACAAAAAAATGCATTTCCCCTCAACTGTGTCCATCTAATATATGACAATATGTAGTGAGTTCACAACAAATGGCGGAAAAACAAAACAGAAACAGAAAAGTAGAACAAAGGATAATCAGAACCGTGGATGACGCAAAACAGAAGAGGAGCTATTGTTATCTTTAACAACCTCTGCTTGGTTGAGCTAAAGTCTCCAGGGATGCTGTTTCTGCCTGCACATCACCTGGTACACACACACACACACACACACACACACACACACACACACAAAAAAGCAAAGAATCTCTATTCTGGTCTGGTACACTAACAGCAGGAGGGGAGGAATTAAGCTGCGAGCAGTAGAAATCCCAAATGCACACCCCACTAGCACACATGCAGGCTTTAGACACAGGCTTTAAGGCCTCATGAACATTTTATGTTTTGTTGTTTTTTAACTGTATGTTTCTTTGTTTCATGTTGCTGTGTTCGCGGCTGCACATGTACCCACCTTTATCACATCCTTGGTCATCTGATATAGCGAGGGGAATCAAAGAGTAAAGCATAAAGGAAGGTAAGAGGACAGGTTATTTAGAATTTCATGACAGTGGAGAATGAAGTTTTACAGATGCTACATATGTAAGGTCATTAGGTTGATGTTGCTTAGAGACAAGAAGTATGTGGGGGGGGGGGCACATTTTTAAAAAGCCCCTGCTGGGATTTGGTGGAATTAATAAAGAGAGCTGGAGGAGCGTGGAGGAGACAGAAGAGTCCCCGCAGGTCTGCTGCTGCTGCGTGGCGTAGCAGGGCTAGCTGCCATATTGCTAAGCTCTTGTTGTCTCCCCACGGCTCAGGCCTAATCGGATCGCCTGCAGCTTATGCGCCACGAAGAGCCACCACTCGCATTATCCACTCACCTGGCTGTTTACATACACCGCTCCCCTGTAGCATCGCATGAGAAAGTGAGAAGCGCCGTGTACCGCTGAGGCTTTGTTTCTCAGCGGACGGCCGCCGTTGCACTGTGCGGATCTGCCTAAGCTGAACTCGCTGCCTGCTTACTGGCCAGATGGACTAAACATGAAAGAGATTAATTCATATCTGTGATCCTTCCCTCCTCCGTCTCTGTGCCCCTCCATCTCTCTCTCATCCCTTTTAAAAACATGTCTACATAGCAGCATTTAGAGGATGGACAATGAATGCTAATGGATCCGAGAATGCCAATTAGTGGCAAAAAAAAAGGTCAATAAATGTCAGTGAAAACATCCAGCGGAGTTATTATTGTCCTGTAATGACACTGACTGAGCACATTACTAGAGAAAGGAGTGCTGACAGAGGGAAGAGATGCTTCAGGTAGTGAACTGTAATTATGAAGAGATGCTAAAGATGCAGTGAAATCCTGGGAAGCAGAAACTTACAGGCAGGCTTTTTAGGGGATTTTGGATTCGGAAGCGTGCCCATTTTCATCCTGTAGGCCAGTCGCCTGGAGGAATGTGCAGCAGAAGAGAGAGCCACAGACGATAAAGGCGGGAAGAGAATCGTCAGGAGAGAGAGGAGAATAAGCAAAAGCAAGGAGAGGCTGTCAGGAATGCAAGATGTAATCATGAAAAGCAGAGAAACATACGACGCTCATGGACCGATTGCGAGACAATGAGCTGCTGAGTGCAGACGTGAAGTAGCTGTGTCTGCACTTGTTTTGTGTCTCCCACTCGCCAGTTTGAAAGACGTTATCTTTAAAGAAAAAAAAAGGCTGACATGACACCATTTATTAGAGCTAACAACTATAACAAAGGAAAAAACCACAAGGTGTTCAGTTTTCCCACCAAAAACGTAGCCAAATATAAGCTTGAAATCCTGATATTTCATTAGAATCACTTTATTCTACATGTCTTATTATTTAAAAAAATTTGTTCAGACTAACTAACACAACACTAGAGCCGTTAGTGACTCAGCTGTGACCAACAACTGCATAATTGCATCACAAAAATTCAGTTCTTTTCAGCTGAACTGCAGGCTGTGTTGTTTACATACAGCAGATACAAGAGAAGTATAGAAACTCATTTTAAAAGTAGTAAAATGTCTATATCTATAAATTACAGAGGAACTATATTTAAACCTCTGAACCCCAAAACCCACCAGCAGATCTGAAAAACATGTTGCAGAAAGTATCCTAACCTTCTGAGGGTCCTTGAACCACTCGTGAGTGACATGCGGTTCTGTCAGTTACAATAACCAAATTTAAGCTTAAATTTATTGACAAAATAAACCACTTGCAGAAAACAAATTCTGTAATAAACAAAAAGAGAGGGGCTATTTAAGACCAACAGTTACAAAACTTTTGGGGCTTTTCAGCTGAACTGCAGGCTGTGCAGGGCTGAGACATACGTGACAGGATGGAAACAAAATAAAACAGGAGGCAGTAAAATACCTATAATACTCAGGCCATCCTGTTTTTCCAGTCCTGGTAACACCTGTGAGCATTTAAAAAAATGTTGGACATTTCAGCTCTAGATTATAAAAATCTTTGCAAAAAAATAAATAAATAAATTCAGCTTTCGTTTTTTTCTTTTTTTGTCCTGCAGCACAGAAGACATGTTTGAGTTCTCTCTACTTCTAGCCATGGTTGTGCTGTTTCCACTGTGGTGCAGGACTTTATATTGCAGTGAAAAATGAGCTCACAGTGAGTAAAAATGTGACGGGTGCAAAAAACGAGCAGAACCTGCTTGGAGTTCAGAGGGTTAACGTCACTGCGGTTATTTTTTTTCTTTGTTGACATGTGGGGTTGGAAAGTCAAATGACAACAGTCACTGGGACCCAGGTAACCTGAACTTACATCATGCTGATGCATTTGAAAGACATTTTTCTCATTTACTGTTAATGTTACCCAGAGCTCAAAGGGCAGCAGGGACCCACAGTATCAGCACTGAGTCATCCTCAACATTTATTTGACTTACAGAAACACTCCGTTTGTGCTTTTCTGACCTGCATCTCTCTGTGTGCTCAAGCTGCGGTTATTAATCCAGATGCTGCAGTGTTTGGCAGGGATCTCCCAGCCTGCTGAGATCATCTTACTGGTGGATTATGACACTTATGGTATCAGCGTGCGCCTATTCAAGGCTGTGTTTCAATTTATTTTTTCCACGCTGCTTTGATGCTCCATCTAATCATAGTTGACCCTTCAAAGTGGAACACATGAATGCGGATTTAAAAGATTACAAATGGCTGGATAAAATAAATATCAGCGGCGCGCGGGTGAACCGTTCGGTCGCCGTCGCTGATTAGTTTACACCGCTGGGAGTTCATTTTAACTGCGAAGATTCAACTCTGCACCTCCGTGTGGATGTTCTCACCTCTCCTGGAACTGTTTGGACGGGACGAGTCCGGCCCGCAGGTTGCTGTCTCCGACCCGCTTGGCCTGCCACCACGTGGGGTCGTCCTGGGTCACGACCTGCAGGATGTCTCCACGTTTAAAGGGAAGTCCCGCCTCTTGGCAGGGCGTGGCCTTGTCTTCCAATGGGATGTAGTCAAACAGTGCTCTCATGTAAACCTGGAATCAAATGCACAGATTGGAGAAAGCATAGTTAATGTTTTTTAAATGCAAATAAACTTTTTAAAATTTTACATGTGTTTACTATCTGGAATTACAACTGTGCACACAAAACGCTACCTAAATTTTTACAGAGCGCTTTTCAAAATCCAAATTACAAAATGTTTCACACGGCAGCAAAATTAAACAAACGTCATAAAGTGCTCAGAACTTGAAAGACAGAAAAAAGACAACATGGTGTATAAAAACCAACACACTGTTTGGAGAGGTAAAAAAACTGTATTCACATGACCAATATTTTAAAAAGCTAAACAGTTTTGTTTCTCCAATTTGACAGGATTTTTCACAACACAAACAGCTGTAGAAACTTTCTATGGAAATTAAGTAAAGGCAAGAAAATGGGCTTCTCTTGGGTACAGTATTTACATTGTGTCAGTAAATTGTGAAAAGATTTTAATTTTTTTTCCCTTGCAGGTTCATAAATATGTGAAATAGCGGAATGCTGACTGTAGTATCATATCAACGATAGCCAATAATAACTGGTGACATACTGCTGCTTTGCCAGGATCTCTTGGCATCACATTTGATTTCCTTTTAGCAGTACACAGGTTAATCTGATTTATCCTGAAAAAACGCATGAATGTCAGAAATCAATGCTAGGAGTCTGCCGCCAAACGTTTCCTGCTGGTGTCGTCACTGTTGCTTCTTTTCACTGAATGTAAAAGTTTGCCTTGTAACATGTCTAAAGCTGTGTGGGTGTGTTTGAACTTAAAAAAGTCATTTTGGCATCTGAACTTAACTAAACAGAACCATGTGTAAAAAAAAAGAACCTCAGTCTTCTGGATGAAAGTCAGAAAGGCTTTTTCAAAAAAGGCAAAACTTCTATACATCTACTGGTGTCAATCATTGACGCAAGAGGCGCCAATGTTAAAGGGCATCTTTTGTGTATCTTTGAGACACCAGGAGCTTTGACAAACCGGCAGTATCTGCCGCCCTGACAATGAGAAGAGGTTGGGAGTGTTTTAACTGATCATAATCACTCAGTCGTGCTTCATCTCACCTTGCTCTCTTTCAGCCGGTCCTCCTCTTTAATGGCGGGGATTATCTTTAGAGTGATGGAGCCTTGGGACTGGGACTAGATCACAAATAGACAAAATGAAGAAAGAAGGGAAGATTGTGACTGCAGCCTCAAATGAAAGACAAACACTAAATACACTTGGCTTATAAAGGCCTTCTGAGGTGGATTTTACTATTCATGGAGCATTAGCTATCTCTGTGTATACGTAAATAAAAATCAGGCATGTTTTCTATTTCATAATCCTGTCGACTGTCATGGCGTTTACTAAACCTGACTTTATGGCTTGGATTTAGACCAAAATGCATTAATATAACACTTGCTAACACACTGATGTTAGATATTTGGGGTGTTTTGCGGGGCAAACAGTAATATGTTTTTTCTGACTATTAAACAGATTTTTGGTCTGTCTCGTTATAAGATGTGCAGTTGAAATAATCATTATTAAGTAATTTTATCAGTAAAAATGTGACAAAGCAAAAACCACTCAGAAACTCACCAATTTCAAAACTCATGATTTCAATGGATTTGATGCTTTACAAGATAATTTTATGTAGCTACTAACAGTGCATACATGTAAAACAGCTTATTCCACAAGTACATGTCCTTTCTTTAACAGCTTAAAATGAAACCTGAACTGTAGTTACACACTTTCCTGCTAATAAACAGTGGATTTTACACTGTAAAGCCTACACACATTCACTGAGAAAGATCAGCCTGGGGGATTAAATAATCTATAATGGATCGTTAAAGGGAAAACGGCGATTCACACGGAAATCTATCCGTATTTCCCGTCAACAGAAATACTCCTGGGCTTCTATATTTCTCAAATTACAGACTGCGCTTATTTCTGCACAGTAAGTACATCTGTCTGTCTTACCAGCAGCTGACTGATCTCATCAGGCCTCTTGTGGATCACAGAGACTCCGTTGACCTCCCTGAGTTCATCTCCGACATGGACCAGGCCTGCGAGGAGAAGAGATAGTATGAAGACACAGATCAAGTGGCAGATACATCAGTGACAATCAAAGAGGCTTCCTGGGTCCTTGGGGTTTATCAGTCGTATCTTAACATCAGTATTGTTGTCGGAGCAGCAGATTCGGGCAGCCTCTATCCTCAGCTGTGATCTGTTTATCTGCGACCACAACAATGAAACTGAAAGGCTGAGAGAAGTGAGATCAATACAGTTTTCCCTCAGGACGGAGAAGCACACAGCAGACACAACAATAGACAGTCATACATGTTATAATGTTTGCTTTACCAGACACACAACGAGGCCCGAGGCCAGTTCTGAAGTATCTCTACAGCTTCTGTCTCCACACTAATGAGAGCTTTTTCTATCACTCGACGCAGCAAGAAATCGGAGGAAGACATTAATGATTAATGCACATGGACACTGATTGGTTTACTCTGCCAGCATGCATGTATCTAAAGCCAGTAACGCACACACACAAGCACCTGCATGTGGCTGATATTTCCATGGAAACACCCATGAAAGAGTCTTTGCCGAATGTATATCATATATGATTGATTCTGCCTTTGAGTTTCAGCAACTACTGCACTCTCCTTCTCATTTTTCTCCTGCTGCAGCATCTCTCCCCTCTGTGCTTTGATCTCGCTATCATTTGATGATCAGGTTTTGATTTGTTGTCCCATACATATGTGCATATTTTTTAAAAGAAATGCGTTGGCACTACTATAAGACTAAGGAGCCTCCTGAGGCGTCAGGCAGGCTCAAGGCTGTGCTACATTACTGCAACGCTCTGGCTCACTTCCATGCTGGGGACTCTTTCCTTTGTGTCATTTATGACTTTTTACACTTTTTAAAACAAACATCAGCAATTAGTACTATTACTTGTGGACATAGAAAATACTTTATGTCCTTCACCCTCTGAACCCCAAAACTGGTGCATTTAAAAAAAAAAAAAATCTGTTTAGAAAAATCACGAAAATCAGAACCTTTATCAGCGCCTGAAACTATGAAAACAGACAGAATCATCGGATTTTTAACTTTCCAACAGTCTTTGAACTAATCATGTGTGACTTGTTATTTTGTCTTATGAAGTAAATAAAACTAAAAATCACTTTATTCGACATTTTTCATTACAAAATTTGTCAAAAATAAATTATTTGCACTAAACAGATTCTGTAAAAACAAAGCAAGCCTGCATTCCTCTGCACAACCGGGTAGCCATGTGTCACTCAGCTGTGACAAAAATCTGTGATTATTCGGCTGAATCGCAGACTGTGTTTACACAGAACAGAGAGGACATGAAGTCTGGAAACAGTATAAGGGGAAAGGGGAAAATAAAACATACTTCATTGATAAAATAACAGCAGCATGGTGAAAAAAAACTGCATACAGAGGAGAAAGTTTCTGGATTTCTATATAGAGTTGATGTGCAGAAACAGGTAGTTTGTAGAGGCTGTAAAAATGAAAATCATAAAATATCCATAGTATGTAGAAACATCACTTTTTTTCTGGTGTTGCTAACACCTGTAGGCACTTGGAAAAAATGTTGTACAAGTTGACTCCAAGTTTTAAAAAAAAAAGTAAAACAAATAAAGAAATGCAGCTATTTGTGGTGCATGGTTTTACTGCACTGGAGACATCATTGCTTCTAACCATGGCTGTGCTGTTTTAATAGAGGTGCAGGACTTTATATTGCAGTGAAAAATCAGGCTACAGTGACAGGAGTAAAAAAAACATTATGTCTCTTATGGGGCCACTGTTATCCCCATCATTTGCAGGGGTCTGGAGGTTTTAACAACCAGAATATATGATTCTACACAAATAAATCACGTTATTAAAGGCAGATTCTAATATTTATTAAACCCAGTGTCTTTAATTGCTTTTAGGGCAAGGATATAATAAATGGATTCAGATTTTATGAGCCAGAATTAAACTCCTGTCAAAGTGGAGTACGTTTTCACACAGCAATAGTAGTAACTGAGGGAGGTAAAAATTGAAATAAAATACATTTATAACGGTTGTAAAACTGAAAAACTATCTCGGAAGTGTGAGGCTACACTGGGAGAATATAATAACATATAAAGTATAGAATATAATTGAAAAACTGTGGTAATGGCCATGAAACTCTTTAGTATCTCACAGTAAAAAAGCTCAATTTAAAGAAAAGTTCAAAGATTAAAACTCTTCTGTTGCAGAATTTTATTTCCCACCCAGCTAATCCTTCTGTAATCCATGACCCACAGGTTGGGAATCCCTGATATGAGCAGACAGGTCATACAGAAAGCAAACAGAAGCCTACCACTTCGATCAGCTGCGCCTCCTCTCATGATCCGAGCCACGATCACCGCTCCAGTGGCCTCATCCCGCCTGATGGTGGCTCCCTGGAGCACGGACGAAGGAATAAGATCATTAGCAGGAGACAGAGCAAAGGTCTCACTACCATAATCCCTTCTTCTCCTCATCCAGCTCTCCTCCTCCTCCTGTCACAACCCACCAGAGGCTCCTTGTTCTTCACCAGCCTGACAATCTTCACAGACTCCTCCTCCAGCTCGTCCTCGAAGTCGTCCGGCAGCGGCGGCAGCACGGGGTCAAAGTTTTTCTGGGCCACGGTGTCGTGCACCGAAAGAACAGCCTGATGGGATTGAAAACAGACGATAGCACTGATGTTCAGCTGCTGAGAAGCACGAAGAGCGAAGCCTGAGATCTGCCACAATGTGTAAACAGCCTCACAGATGAATCTACAGAGTGATGTCAGTGCAAATAAACTCTCACGCAATGACACAACAAAAGTGGCAGCGTGGATATACATGAGAGGGAAATAACAGCTTTTGCTTTCCTTCTAATAAAATGTTAATTTTGGCACCTGAATTTGATTCAGTTTTAGTCTTCTGAAGAAAATGGGTCCCAGTTTTAGTCAAATTTTTGTCATTTCAGTCAACAAAAATCTACTTTTAGTCTCGTTTTCGTCAGTGACATTTCAGTCTCATTTGTCAGTGGTGACAGAAAAGGTTTCTTGTAATCAAATTACTGATTACAGGCAATACAACGGTTTTGTTTCTGATGTTTGGGCTGTATGTGTTTGGCGTGGTCTAGTGCCAATATTTGGAAACTACACTGTAATTAACATGACTTACAGATAAACTAGTGATATAAAATAAATAATTAATGTCTTTTGCAGGTTTTGTTTAGGTTAGACTCTTAAAAATATGACCCTTATGAATGAAATTAAGTAATTTTGATCCTTTAACAACATTTAAGTCAGAATTTCGGGGCCGTAATCACTTTGTGGAAAGTGGGAAACTCAAATATAATTGAATCGGTCCTTTAAAGCCTTTTTAACAGGTGAAAAGAAGTGAATTGGTCAAATCAGGTTTTTAAAAATGCAGAGACATTGCAAAAAAGAAAAAGTAGTTTTCCCTTTTTATTCCTTTTCAACACTGACTCATGGTCAATTTAATTTGGCCTTTTTTTGGACAAGAGTTTACAAAAATAGATTATTTCATGTTAAAATGAAAACAGATTCTCACAAAGCAACGTCTTCATTGTTGCAGTCATTTACGGAATCACTTCATGAACACTATTTATATAAACTGGGCAGCACAGATATTCAATTGAAAGTAGAATAACATCACACCTAATCGACAGACGTACTGAACAGGACAAGTTTTTGGGTGGCGGGGAAACTGAGCTGCAGTGCGTGACTCAACGGATGCTTCAACTTTCTGAAAACAACTTGATGATGATTCTTGTTTTCAGTCACCTTCAGTGACCCGTTTAAGATAAATGTAGTGAAAAACATGTCATCCACTGCATTTTGTTGGCATCTGTTTTGTTGAAACTAACACATTGGAAGCCAAAAAAACCCCCTAATTTGCTAAAAATGTGTTTACCTTGAGATGAGGTGACGTCAGCAGGTGCAGCAGCTCCTTCTCCTCTGTGCTCATTGGTCCGCTCTGCAGCTCCTCAGCCACCTGCCAATCACAACACACCTCAGCCTTTAGCTGTAATTCCTGTATTCCAGTAATGTAAAGTGCTGAAGAATAATTGCAGACAGATATACACAGACATGCACGCAGGAGGAGATAAGTAGCAAGCAGCTAAGGTCAGCAGTTTCCCCCCACTGATAACTGGTGGGAGTGAGAGAGCAGCAGGATATGGAGTTTCATTAGATGAGCATCAGGATGATTCAGCACTTTGAGAACATTAAAATTCCCTTTTGATACCTGCATCGCTTCTCTGTCGGAGCTAACTCATCGTGACTGACTGCTGTGCCCGAGTGGAAAAGTAATTTAGGGTTTGCGTGATGAACTTACATCCTCTGCCAGGGAAGAGGCACTGTGGAGAACAGGTGTTGGGCTCTGCCTCTCGTACTGTCGCAGCTTCTCGTGAATCTGTGACAAACACAATCGTTTTTTTTTTTAATGCACAGTTTTTTGAAAAGATAGGAGGTCAAGCAATTTAATATGATACCCACAAACACATGAATTTATAGGGGGGTCACGGAGGAAAACCATATTGATAGCATGAAAAAAAAACACTAAAATGCTACCTATAGATTCAACAATGTCTCTGACAAGGGCGAGTTCTTCTCCTTTATGATCTTACATTTTTTACTCTAAAAATATTAATTATGAGCTCATAAAACCACTAAATCTTTAATGGAAAATGTGATTAGTCCCTCTGCACACACACACACACACAATGTTGTGATATCAGCAGCCCTGCATCTCCTCCTCCCCTCAGGCGCTGCACAGAAGCAGGTTGATAATAAAGAAGGAAGAAAAAAAGGATGAGGAGGTCTAATATTAGTGCATTTTGTTCCCAAAAAGTCTCAAAACCAACAAAGCTGCAATTTTCACTGTCATGGCTTGTGTGTAGATTTAAAAGTTGGAGCCAGAGGTTTAGGATTTCCTAAATTTAGAAGCTCTAATAAAGTCTCATTCTGTAATCGATTATGGCCACAATGTAGCGTATTCTTGTTTTCGCTCAGTTTCAGTAACACAGTTCAGATGAACAAGCTTCTCAAAACACAATTATGTTCCTAATGAAGAAGGAAGAAAGATCTGAGCAGAGATGGTGCTGGAACACATAGGAGCTGTTGAAATCCAGGCTTTATAAATTAATTAAAACAAATTCATTTATCATTGATGCGAATAGCTTGAACACGAAAACAGTTAAAGTGGTTTCTTCCTCAAACAAGAGACACAAAAGAGGATAGAATTGTAAATCCAGCATATATGTTTGTTGACTCAGCAGGGATAATATCAAAGGAAGAAAAAGGCTGAACTCCAGGAGAATAAACACTTGAAAGCAACACAGAACACCTGGGAGCTTTACTGCTTTATATTCCATTATGCTATGCATTTTCACCTGCTGCCTGAAATTTGCATTTCCCTTTACATAAATAAAGACATCTCCGACATAAACTGATGCAAAATAAGGAACAAATCAGTGTATTAGAATTCACCAGAATGCAGAAAATGAACTGTCTGATGCTTAGAAATTCCTGGTGAAGGACCCCAAGACCGCCTACTTATTGTTTCCCACCTACAATGTTAAAACAAAACCTCACAGATCCAAGTCTGTGCACCAAATCAGCCACAAGTAAACTTCATGGCAATCCATTGAACAGTTGTTGAGATATTTAAGGTTGTATAAGTAAGGGGGACTGACCCCATGGTGCTGGCATGGCTTATTAGAACTTCATCAAGGTAGAAATCTTTGTATTGTATTATTGCAATAATATATTCAAAAATGTTCACTCTGTATCTGGATCATTATCCCACAAGAAGACACAACGGGATGCCATAATGAGTAACATGGCAAATTTCTATTTATTTGAATAAATGCTAAAGTTGAACAGAAAAACGAGATTGTCATGAAATATTGTAAAAAAGCAAAAAGACATGCTCATTAATGCTCATCCACACCACAAACTATCCAAACCATCACATGTTCCTTGGATTTGGGCTTGATGTCCAACACTTTTACAATGTAGTTTTGAAGCTTTTATCTTTGAACTAGCCTGTAAATTAACCAAGAAAAAACAAAGAAACAGAAGAGGCAGCAAAAAGCATTGTGACAGTTTATCAAGTTCAAATCTAAGCTTCCACTTGAAACAGGGGAATTGGCTAACTGCAAAGGCTGAATTAAGTGTGTACATTATTCAACATGTCTGATCTAGCATGTAAATAGTCAATAGTTTAACAAATCTGTGCCATCCTCTTTGTGTGACAGTCACATGTTTGATTGTTTCTCATGTGGTAATGCTTCATCAAATGTTGGAAATCTTTTACACATTGAATACCAAACTGAAAAGGGACTTATTCGCAATTAAAATTGCAATATTTGTCTAAAAATTCTCAATATTCCCCAAATCCTTGAGCACTAATTGCCTCCTTCGCAAAAATAATCCACATATCTTTAAAAAATAGGTACTAGTATTCTTGTTTCCACATTCGGCAAAAGGAAATGTACAACACTTGAAATCAGTTGTACAAAAGAAAAATGCAGCTGCTGCTCAAGTGACACACAGTCATTAAATAAATAAAACAGCTATACTGTTTTGATCATTTTCTAAACCTCACAAATCTGCAGACCTTTAAAGAGACTGTAAAAACACAACTCTGAGGCTGCTTTGTCTTGCAGTATTGCAGGCTGATGATACTGTAGTTGCATCACCACACAAGGACACTGAAGGAACGCTGCAATGACATTAAAATGACTTATTCTTCTGTTCTCCTGGCAAGTGATGTGTGATGCTCGCCCACATGTGTCATCTCTGCGTAAACCTCAGACAGATGAGACAAAATCTCGACAAACACAGCGCTAGCAGTTCGGTTCAGAAAACCAAAAGTTTTGGGGGAAACAAGGCTCGCCCACCTTCATGAGGTAGCCCAAACTCCGCTCGCTGAAGACGTCTTTGAGGAACACCATGTCCTCTTTGTGGTTGGCGTCGGGCCTCAGCTGAGAGGTCAGCAGGGCCAGCGTCTCGTGCAGCCCTGCGGACGACAGGAACGAGAAAACCCATCATGTGCATTAAGACGAACAGATGGAGCGCGGCGAGCTCCGAGCGGGAAGCGTGGAGCATCTGTGCCAGCTTGTCTTACCCGCTCCTGCTGTGAGAACCGGCATGGCTTCTTTCATGGGTCAGTGAGGTGAGGAGGGGAAACCTACGAGGGGTGAGACGGGGAGAAATCTGATTAGCCTTTCCTCTCACACTCATACAGGATTTCTGAGAGATTTCACCGACTGAGAGGATAAAAAAAACAAAACAATTTCTTCTCCTTGTAAAACCGTGAAAAAAAAGGGTGTGTTTTGAGTGTGTGTGAGCATGTAGACTTGATCTAAAGGCACCCGGAGACCCATGTTTAGTAATTATAGCTGTATATCATGTTCTCGTAGGCTTGGTGCAATAAATCCTGGCTGCGCTTTCCACTTTGCAGCGCAGCTACCTCATCTGTGAATGTGTAGGTGTGGATGCGTAAGTGCGCCTGCATTATAGAGCAGTACTACTAAGATAAACAGTCGCTGCTGGTACTATTAATCACACCAACTCTCACCAGGCCCTCTGAGCTTTGTGTTGGTGTGTGAGAGAGCAGCAGAGTGGGATACTCTGGCACGAAACCTGTAAGAAATAAACACTGTGTCATACCTCGAACTGATAGGAAAGCTGCTGGTAGGACAGAGAGGAGGCTTTGTTTTGTCCACAACCCAATTATATTCAGCTTACTGGCACAGAGGAGGAAAGAAACCAGAAAATATTCACATTTAAGAAGCTGGAAACAGAGGATTTTGACTTGTTTTTTTTTCTTTTAAAAAATTACTCAGTAATTATATTATCCAAATAGTTGCCAATTAATTTAGTAGTTGGCAACTAATAGGAGCTTTAGAGGTCAAAATATAAATGTGGCAAAAGATATCCATGTTGACAAGTCTACTAGTTTGATGAAACATTTGAGAGGCTTATTTTAATTAAAAAAAGAAAAAAAAAGTAGCTTGAGGTTGCCCCAGTTTGTCTCGTGTTAAGACTTTTATCTACTAATCAGCATTTTGGACTTAGTTATATCAATACATATTATTGGAAGTGATTTAAAAAGGTTTATTTGTATTGGAAATATGCATTTTTTCCTGTATAATAGTTGAATCTGATTACAGGCTAAATTACCCGTCTAAAGAGCATTATTGAACCCAACAGAAACAGCACTGTACAGTATCAATATATTCATATATACTGACAGGACTGTAAGTGACTCAAAGATACAGTCAGCCGAAGTAGAGCAGAGACTGCTGCATTATTGCAGGCGCTACCGATCAATAATCCTGTCACTCCACTCAATATTCACCATATTTCCTCGCTGGAAACCCGAGTCAATAACAAAAACCTCAGACTCCCTCACGCCACACAGAAAATGCAGCAAGGCCAAAACAGTGTGATGAAGAGAATTAGCATTTTATGTCAGAAAATATAGAATAAGTAGGGAAATATGGGTTTGTTTTAGATCATTTTTGAGAAATGTGAGAGTGAAATATGCTATTATATAATCATACACGGCTTACTTTCTTTAGCAACAGTGACAGAAATTGTACACAAACTGAAAACGGGCAGAGCTCAACCTGTCTGGTTCTGGTGTTACTACCTTGCATAGGTTTGGTAAGTTCGTGTCAAGAATTATTTTTTACACCCTTTTTAGTTTTTAGTATTTGAGTAGCAACTGGTGGACAGGAACATGTTTAAAAGACACTGATTGGTTCCTAAGAAAGAGCTAAACATGCAAGAGACAAGCCTTTCTGAAGTAAACATGAAGACTACATTTCTACCTGCTGAAGGACACAAAAGAAGCAACACTGGGCTTGTGCACACTAGTGAGCTTTCAATGCTACACCTTCACCTAAAGTGCAGAGTGGCAGCGGCATGAAGGCGGTAACATCATGAAAACAAGACCAAAAGGCAGATGGGCAAATGTCAAAAACAAGATGGAAACAAACCAGATGCGGTAAACATGAGCAGTTTAACTATTGGTTTTAGTATCTGTGGCGAATGTTAACATCAAGGGCGAGAATGTTTAGCATTGCTTGGCAACAGCAACCGATGCTTGAGGTGGGATTTTATCTCGAAATACCAAAAATGTTTGATGTTATCCCCGACGGGTCTACAAGCAGTTCAGGAGGTTTCAGACTGGACGCTCGCTTTACCAAATAATCTGGCCCGAACATCACTTGAGATCAAGATCCCAGACCTGAATTGCTTCTCCGACTGCAGGAGGGATGAAATGTCGAGTAAAGCGGCCTGGAACTCGTGTACTCTGAGCCTGGTCTAAGGAGGGGAAGACGAGAATAGAGCAGGTGAACAGAGCACCAGAATGCAGCTTAAAGTCCATCAAGATGAGCGACAGCTGAGTGGAAGGAGGACACGACTTCATACATGTGAACTTTAACTTGAATAAATCATCGAAAGCCTGTTAACTGTGACACCAGCCCAAGTCCAAGGTTTAGAACCTGTTAGGTTTTTTTTGTTTGTTTGTTTTACATAAATAAAGAAAGAAAGAAAAAAATATATTCTTAAGGCATCTTGATCATCAGATCATTTTTTAAAGGGGGAGGTTCAAGGTTTTAGCCATGCTAGCGACAAGATTAAACGATTAGTTTTAACTGATTAGAAAAATCATCCACTGTTTTGATGTTCAATTAATTGGTTTGGGTAATTTTTAAGCAAAGAAAAACATCAAACTACTCGGATTTCAGATTCCTAAATGTGAATATTATAACTTTTGATTGACTGAGAGTGCCATGGACAGTCAAAGTCATCTAGTTAGTTGCAGTCTGAGCAACCAATATGGCAATACACAAAGTGATTTGAAAGCCTCAGCCTCAGCTCTACTTAGCAAAATGCCAATATGCTGAACTAAGCTGGTGAAGACTGTAAATATACCATGGCATGTTCGAGCTGCTGTAGTCTTAAAAAAAAAAAAAAGATGTGCTCTATGTGTTAATGCAATACACACTCAGCACTTGATCACTGGGTTAGAAGTTGCTCTGCAGTGACGTAAACCAGGACTCATGCAAGCAACAGTTCAGAGTGATATTCTTAGGGTCTCTAACCTAAAAACATCAACATCGATGTGCAGCTCAGCAAGTGAAGAGTTCCTGAATGAGGACATGAGCAACGTGAACCAACAGCATCTGTCTCAATCCTCTAATTAGAAATCCGATGTTACAGTAAAATAAAATACACAATAAACTCGTGTCATTTCCTGCTGATTCCATCTGACGATTTAATCAACGGCTCTTCTGCAAATTTGAGCATTAATGTCTCATGAACTTGATGAAATCTGTAAGTTTTGCATTACTCATTTATGTTACTTCATAACAGTGACTAAAAAGAATCTGAAAATTCCCTCACACATACTCTAAACCCCATACAGTATTGTTAAACTGCAGAATTTGAGCACCTTGCTGTATTTTTTTGCATGCTTCCACATCTTCCATTATTGCAATATTGCGGTTTTCGCACTCTTCCTGAAGCATTTCTAAAACCTTGTGCTTTGATGGTTCACTATCAGAATATGATTAACCTCAGCAGACAGAGGCACCAATGAGCTCATGAATAATGAACAGAGAGGATATTACAAGAGCAGGAGGAGGAAGGGAGGCAGAAGTATTTTTTTTTCTTTCTTTTTGTTCTGTCACAAGAATCAGTGGGATCAACACCCAAGAGACAAATGCTTTATTCTCAAGCGTGTCAGCTGGGATTTTCTCCATATAACCTCGCTATATATTACTCAGAGGAGGGAAAAAATATCAATACAGCGTCTCTGGGAATGATAAAGTAAGGGCTTCATTCTGTGCTCTGTATCAATATATTCTTTTCAGAGATATATTTTCATGACAAACAAGCACTTTAAAAGCTTCGTCCCATCTCCTCCCACTCAGCTTCTGACTGATAGAACTTGCAGACGAGGGAGGATTAATGGGCAAATAAAAAAAAATTATGTCTGCCTTTGTAATATGCAAACAGTTGATTTATATTGAAGGCTTAAACGGACCAGACTATACCGCGGAGGCTTGAATACAAATGCAAGGTTAGTGAAGTTTTTCATCAGATGTTGGCCTTTATAATTCAAAATCAGAATTTATAACACCACTTAATTTTGTTGAGTGTCCGGTGAGAGTTGTCTGTAAAGTATTCATGGATGTACAAAGAAGAATTGCTGATACTTATTTCATCATGTTTTCAGAGGTGCCAGTTTGCTTAAACGTAGCTCACGGTCTGAAGTACTGAATCCATAGCAATGATTAGATATTTCAACATATGCTGCATCACATTGCATAGCCTACATACCCTGCAGTATGCACAAAGCAGTAAAGGGATACGAGAATTCAAACTGTTTCTCATGATTTTAAAGGCAAAACGTTGGCTAGCCAAGATTAAAATGTGATTTATAACTTTTTTTTTTTGCCTTCGTGGGAGCAGAAACAAGTTGCTAACATCACAATTTCATTATCTTTAATGATAATGTTGCGTCTCGCTGCTTATTTGCAAACCCAACAATTAAATAGCAACCTTGACATTCACTATGAGACATCTTTCTGGTCATCTGATCCAATATTCACTCTCTTTTAGTTCCACTTTTGGTCTCTACTAACTCCTGAGGGAAATATGTAGTTCTTTAGCTGCTAAATACTCTGCTATGCTCACTGGCATGTTGCAAGGTTTTCAGAGTCTTTTTGCTGAATCTGCTGTTGCCAAAAACAACACTATAGAGAGCTATGAGAGTGAACCGAAATAAGGAAAGTTGTAAGGCAGCTAAACAAATCCTCAAACTCTCTATAGAGGTCCTTAACACTATGAATCAAAAAGCTGCTGGCAAGTTTCCAAAGCATATTAGTCTTAAACAAAATTGAAAAAAAAACCCCAAAAAACCCACCATTTATCAGAGCCAGAAACTGTAAAAAACATAGGTTGGCGAACAACGTTTCTGACAAACACTAATAATAACACATACACAGTAAGACCTCGGAACCCCAAACTTTCCGACAATCATTTCTTCTAATCCTACATGTGGCCTTTTAATCAGAACCAGATTCTGTGGAAAAACAAATCATTCTGATTCAGCTTTTAGGCTAAACTGCAGGTTGTGTTTCCA